TGTATTTTTTCAAAAAACAAACTGATAAATGAAACTAAATTTGAACATTGACTATTAGCTGACTACAGAAAGTGCTTTGATGGTCTTTTGGGGATTGGAGATCAATATTTCTCTTTTCTGATTGGTGAGAAAAGATGACAACTTAAAATTCTTGTTGCAAAATAGCATAATGTATCTTACAGATACAATCTATTTTAATTTGTAATTTATTTGTCACAGCTAAAAGCTTTTAAAATTGAAATTATGAGGGAATATATATATATATATATATATATATATATATATATATATATATATATATATATATAAAATGTGTCGTGAAATAGATAATTGTACCAACTTTACAGATCTGAGGTATTAAAAGAAACTCCACCTTTTTTTTTTTTCTTTTAACAAATAGTTCTGTAATAAATGGTGATATTTCAAGACTAAAATCCAAATTAGTTAATTTGTTAATTGCAATCATATAAATCCAGTCTGATTTCTGGGTTGAAGAGTTATCATTATTTACATTCAGGTTATTGTCCTCATTTTTGTTTTGTTATCACAACACTTCAGCCATTGTGCCCTCCAGGCTTCATCAAGTGTATATCAATCTGGGTAACCTACAGGGAATTCCAAACTGAACCCTTTAATTAATCTACAGGGGTAGGCTGTTGCCATTCCACTGCCCATGCCTTGGGATATATTGTCTAGTTCTTATTTTTAGTACTGTTCAGTTTTGCTCACCCTGTTTCCTTTGAGTGCAAATACACACAGACTGGTTCCTATTTACTATGTCACCAAATTCACAAACCTTTGCTTGTCCTACAAAACAATAGCCTAGTGGATTACTTATCCTGGGCATGACAATAAACTGCATCCAACAGCAAGACTTCTGATTAGGAGATTGGAGGTTTTGAGGCACATGGGACCACAACTTAAGTGCTGTTGTTCCCAGGTCCACCATGACCCAGTGATAATGAACTGCCAAACAAAAATCAGCAGTACAATTTTATAGTAAAGTTACCAACAATACATTTTATGATCTGCAAAATATATATCTAAAAAATATACCTTTATGATTCAAGTATAAAATTATCTACAAAATATCTGTAGTTGAATGTGCATAAAATTACATAAAAAATATTTAGATTTCCGTATTAAATTACTCATATGCCACCAGCAAAACAACCAACATGAAAGAATTCTTTCATGATGTTAGTCCATATTATATCTTACAATTTCCTAAAGAAGTCAAACTCTTCCAAAATATAACTTCAACAATACTACAATATAAATATATATATCATCACCTGTAATCATGTTCACACAAATATGTATATGCCCAAAAGCTGAGTATCATCTACCATGTATTCAATTGTGAAAGCAGAATAACATATATTTTATTACTTCAAAGCTTCCAAGAAAATTAAATAAATGACCCATAAGGTGTTGATATGCTGTTAATTAAATTAATCAATCAATCACCTCTGTAGAGTATTGAAACAAAGGCAACAAAAAACAGTCTTGATTGAGACCAACAATGGGATGATTATAGTTGTGGGAAAACGTGATGAGTGTACTTGAAGAAGAATACAGTCAACAGAGAAATCATAAATAAGGCAGTGTGCTAAAGGTCAATAGTCATTCACTATCTTTCTATTTTTTTAACCAGGCTCTGACATTCCTTGCTGACATGCGTGAATCTCAAAATTTCACTTTTAATGCTGAAGTAGAGAGTGCCATTGGTACTGCTATCCAGTCAATGGGCCCCAGAAATGTGCTGTCTGTTATCCCTCTGAAAATTACAGGAGATGGGTGAGTAAAATATGAATAAAATAATAATCATTCTGGAAAATGTGTGTACAATAGGATTTTTATATACTATATATCTAAAAATTGCTAATTTCTCTGTACTAATTATTGAATTAGACTTCAAGAAAATCAGAAAAATTGGAATATTTTTATCTTCTTGAATTTCATTTTAGATGAAATATTATCATTATTAATAACATACATTTACTTGTACTGCCCAAAAAATAATGGCAATATATGAAGTAATTTTACAATTGCATGTACTTGTAAAATATCAAAAACGTTGTTATTTTACATTTTCTTGTTTATGTACAATACTATTAAATATTAAACTAAATAAAACAACATTCTTTTCAACATTGAATGATTATGGACATTTATCATTTTATGGAACAGGAAATTCTATTTCTATGTTAACAGAAAAAGTTCACCCTGTGATATAGTGGACTCTTCTGGTAATGTAAAAAAAAATGTATATGCTATTATATAGTGTCAAAAATAACTATAACAATTATAATTATCATCAATTCACTCTTTCTAAACCACTGAGAATCAACCCCATTTTTCTCCTCTACACAAACAAACACATGACATTCTCACTATCAGGCAGGCCATCAACATGTGTGTCAACAAAAATTTTGGCTCCTTTTTCAAGCTTTAATAGTAACATTTATCTGTAAGCATTCAACAAAATTTCAAGGTAAAAAACCCCCAAAGGATTTTCTAACTAAATTATATGGACACTTATTGCACACATCTATAAAACAAACATACAAAAAAGACTGTATACACTTTACTTATTCGTTATCTTATATTTCTGTCAGATTCTGATCCATATTTGCTCTACCTTTTGACACCAAACTCGCAATTTTACTCAGTATTACTGTCTCGTTTTTTCCAACACCACATAACATCCAGATAATAAATAATACTCATTTTGTTGTTTCCATGTCTTGCTGTTACTCATTTTCTACAAGTATTTTTGTGTATATATATATATATATATATATATATATATATATATATATATATATATAGTGCGATGGATAAATTGTCGTTTAAATTACCCAAAAGTGAAAACAGCACTGACATCATATTTTAACAGATATATTTACTAAAATTACACAAAAATATATTGAAATACTAAAAAGTAAATTTATTCAGTGAAATAGCCATTGGCTTCAACCATGGCCTCCAGATGACTTCAGAATCTCCTGCAACTCTTCTGAACAGTCTCCTTGTTTAAGTTGGTGAATACTGCCATAATCCTAGCCTTCAGTTCATCTTTCGTTGGTCTCTCACTCAACTGCATCCTACACAAAATAATCAAGCTGGGAATGTTTTTAATTTGCTCATGAAGCCCACCTGACTCCAAAATGGTAGGATCTGTTGGTTTAGGAGTAAAGTTGAAAAGGTGGGATGCAGAAACAACACACTGACATTTGCATTTATTATATATAATACATACATACACACACACACACACTTTTTCTCTTTTTCATCAATTATTGATGGCGTACAATTTTATTTCGGAAATTGAAATTCAGAAGCAAAATACAAAAATTATAAATAAACCTGCATCCCTTCTCCTGTTTCCTTGTGAGCTATAATCTCCAGCTATTCAAATGTAATGTCAATCGACATCTCCAGTTGCCTTAATCTATCCACTACCCTCATCCTTTCTTCTATCACTCCTATCTGATCTTGCTATTTCCTTTAACCCCTTAAGGTCCTAGTGGCTTCCCGCCTTGCTTGGGGTGAAATGCTTAAAAAAAAAAATATATATATATATAAATTTACACTAGCACATAGGCATATATTCATGTGTATAAATACATAGGTGTATGTATGTGTGTGTTTATGTATGTGTGTGTGTGTATATATATATATATATATATATATAAAAATGTATATGTGTAGGCATTTCTACAATCTATCTTTCTTATTCACTTGAGGCTATCAGTTTAGAGAAGAAAAAGGATAGAAAACACTTGATGCAGAAACCTTATGTCAGGTGCTCTCTGTGATGTACCCTATCTTCAAAAAAAAATTTTTTTTTTTTTTTAAATAGATGAAAGAAAAATTGTTGAAAAATAATGAAAGCAAGACTTGTTTAGTTATGTTTGTTTTTGTTCTGATACGGAATACAGATGTAAATTTACTTCTCAACATTGGAAATAGCAGAGAGGCAGTTGCAATTTTCTTTATTTATATTGACAAAGTAATTCTAATTCTGTATAGATGAACTAAAGATATTTTTGCATGGTAAAAAACACTTATTTTTACTGCTAACCTCCCCTACCCAGATCAGCATCTCCCCTGACTTGTAAAATTATGATAACAACTCACATTACCTGTGAAAATTTCATGGTTTTCCTATTTGAACCTACTCATGAATCAGATTTTTTAATTTAATGACTGAGTAAGCTTCTTGCGAGTTCTATGATTATAAAATACCAGTGGAATTTCCCTTCTTGCATCATTAAGTTTTTGAGCTTAATAAAATATTGCAATAATATACATAAGCATGAATGCAGGTCATTATTTAAAAAGAGGGTACAAATGAAAAGATTAAAAATGAATAAGGTCTTCCATTTCATTGAAGCAGACATTATTGCTTACTGTGTTCCTTTTATTTCTTTTTCTTGCTAAAACCAAATGGCATCTATATATGCTTTTGTTAAACCTCTTCTTGCAATCAAAATGAAACAGTCCATTATTTATCAGTGGTAATGCCAGGGCGTACATGATAAGTAAGGAACTAAAGAACAAACAGAATTATAATAAGATTCCATTTTTATATGCAAAATGAAAATTGTTTCATATCTTCCATGCCAAGTAAAATGGGAATCAGATTTTACACACATAGAAATGAAATATATTCATATGTATTTTTTTCTTATATTTAAGAATAGTTGATAGACTTATATATGAATAAATAGTGTACATCAAAATCCATCAGTCACCAGAATCTGTACTCATTAATTATTGTCTACCAGAAAAATTTTTGATAGTTATTTGTCTTTGTTTATAAATGAATTGTAATAATTTCTTCTCTTTTTTTTTCCCCCAACAGCACCGATCTTGACTTCCCTCGCAGTTGGTTGATGCCTGTGTTGGAAAAGCATATTTCCAATACAGAACTTGGCTTCTTTGTAAATTACTTTTTGCCCCTGGCAAAAAAACTGGACGAAAAAAGTATGTGATGCTTCACTTAATCTCTTTAAATAATGAACCATATGACTTTTTTCCTATTTCTTTGTTTCCCTATCTATAACACTTTATGGCAAGAGAATGGATACTAAAATTGGAATGGCAAGAGAATGGATGTTAAAATTTCACTCCAAGAAAGATGGGAATGCCACAAATATGCAGGTTGTTACAGGGAGTGAAAGTGAAAGAGAAGACTGAGAATGAAGAAACAACAAAAGATGAATGGGATTCAAGAAGACAGAAGATGGCGATTAACATTACATTTAAATTTTTGAAAATCGTGTTTATCAGGGAAGCACGTAAACAGATAGACAGGAAGTGCAAGAAAAGAAACTGTTGGAGTATAAATGATGGTTGCATTTAACTGTTTCAACAGTAAAAGGGTGGGACCTTAGATGCCAATCTGGTAACACGCTTAAATTCATGTAGTTAGGGGCACCAGGAGGGAAAAATTTCATCAGAGAAGTTACCATGAAAATATTTATAGAAAAGACAGGGAAGCTATGTTATGTCGGTGAGAAAGTGACTGAATCCAAGATGCCTGGTCAGGATCAATTACATTACAGATCCTTCTTTGGATTTTGTCAACATATAAACTCAAATATATCACGATTTTTTGTTTTTTTTCTTAAGTGCTTGTAGACAGAGAAGAAATGTATGTAAAGTATGAAATTCATTCCTGTAGGTCCAGCTTGTCAAAATTATCATTTAACGCAGCATCATTTTCTTTCTTTTTAAAAATAAGAAGACATGGGAATTATAATTATTATGAGACTTGATATGTATGTCTTGCAAATATGTTTACAGGGTTTAGAAAATGGTGACTGTATTCCCTGCAGAGAAGTAACAAAAAAAAACCCAAAGGAGGAGATGACATGCCAAGCAAATATTTAGATTCAAATATAAACAACCAATATTTACTTATTCTGAAACCTAATAAAAGCTTAGAGATTCGGAAATAAAAGAAACTGAAACTAAGGTTGACAGGTTGTAAAATCAACGAAGACGCCTCACTCCTTACTGACTCAATACAGAATGATGGCTGGTGATTAAATTAAAAGAAACAGAAAATAGTTTCAGATTTGATGAAATAAAAAAAGATGAATTGCAAACCTTTTGGCAGATAATCAGCATTAATGATTAATGAGCAAGAATTATTGTTATTATTCTGTTAACACTTTCACTGCTGCATTGTTGCCAGGCTGTGCTGAACCATTTTGGGAAAAAGGAGAAATTGTCATTTACTGGAAATAAATGACTATAAAGATGCTGATGGTGATTTCTTATGGGTTCCACCATTTTGGTTTTGATAGGGTAGTCTACAGTACAGATTTAGCTAAACAATACCCCTAAACATACAATAGACTAAAAGTACATCACAAAACAAGACATGTTTGCTACTAAAAGTCTATTAGATTTAATCCATTTCATAAAATAAAAAAATGTCTCTGCTTACGTTAGATTACAAAACAAAGAAGATATGAATATTTTGAGAACTGGCAGAGAATATGAGTTCAAAGGCACGATTTTGAGTTTTGTTTAACCAGAAGTCCTACATGGCCGAATTGATTAAACATGTCAGATCTAATGAGGGTTCCCATAGAGGATTCAGGCCAATAAATGTAATTAAATAAGAAATACTGTTTAATTAAATAAACAACATTTACTCAGATATGAGTATCCATCTAAAATAACATTAACATTTAAGCAAAACACACACACACACAGATATATATATATATATATATATATATATATATATAATGCAGCAACAACTTACAAAATGTAAGTTTCATAGAGACATAAGTATGTCCACAGCAGTGATGGTGGTGTTATTTCAGTATTTTAAAAAACAAAATTAAAATGCTTCTTGTTTATAAATCAAATAGACATTGCTTAGAATTTAAAGAGTTTCTTTGATCCTTAGCAGTTTAAAATTATTGAATGCACAAATTCATTATTTTAGATGGAGTGAAATTAGGTTGTTTGTCTGTTCATAAGCACAGAGTTTGTGAGTGGTTTGTTTTTGCTTGATTGTTTGATTATGATTTACAATTAACTTCTTAATATAACAAATTAATATTGTCTTAATTTTCAGTCAGAAAACCTGCATCATTTCCCAATCTTTCCAACTGAATTTCTTTCTCTGTTCAGGTGCTCAGTTCAAGGCAGAAGATAATCTGGTTGCTGCCAAGTCTTATGAAGCTGTTGTCCTTCAAATCTGGTCTCTTCTTCCCAGTTTCTGTGACCAACCTACAGATGTGACAGTGGTAAGTTTAAAGACTTTGTATCTACATATATTGTATGCACCCCCACAAAAAAATCTTATTTACTTTATTTACACTCAGACTATTGTCCTCATCCTTGCTGTCATTATCACAGTATTTGAGTCATTGTGGCCTCTAGTCTTCATTGATCTGCCTTGTTTCAGGGACATTCAAACTGCATCCTTTATTTAATCTACAGCAGGTTGATTCTTCTCGTTTTGTTCTTTAGTTCTTATTTTGCACTGCTGAATTATTGTTTGCCCTGTTTCCACTGAGTTTATGTCTACAATATTAACTTGTAATATATTGGTTAATTCTTCGACAAATTCTGAAAACATTGCAAAGAAGACAAAATGAACAGAGAAAAAATCTAATGCAAAAAGAGAAAATATGATGATGCAAATGGAAGAACATCTTTGACAAGAAACAGTAAAACATCACAACAGAAAGGTGGAATTAGAATACTGGTGCCATGAGAAATGCAAAAAATAGTTTATACAGTAAATAATCTTCCAATCATTGAAGCCAATTATCAACACCATAACTGTGGTGGATAAAAATCATTTTTGACTGTACAGGTTAATGAATAAGTATTGAAAATTTTGTTTGATAATTCCCTGATTTTTGGCAAATATTTTAAAACAAGTGGTAGCAATTTTTTGCTTTCATTTTGAAAAAAAAGCAACCATTTTTTCCCTTTTACATCAATGTCAAAAGTTTTATTAAAATCCACGATTAAATGAACTTATGGATTAGCAGAAAAAAATGACCATAAAAAAAAGGAAAAAAAGATAAAACTTAATTGTTTTTACTTTTTTATCGATTTTTTTTTTTCTGCGATTAAATTTAGCGATAATTTTGTTTTGTTCTGCAACTCGATATATACATGTGATATTTTGTATGTGGGTGTAATAATGAGTGAAGTACGGTCAGCGAAACGAACACACAGACACACGAAAAATGAAGAGCGATAATTTGTAAGCAGTAGAAAAGGTGAAGCGACAATAGAAAGCAAGACCAACAAAAAATGTGTAGATTTAGCGACGGTCATTGAGACGAACAACAGTAGATGACAATTAACGGAACAAACACGGGCGTTGAACGGTCGACTGTCAGTGGGATGAACAGAAAGACAAGTGAGCCGCGGACGACGGTTAGCGGAACGAACAGACAGACACAAGTGAGCGAACGGCAGTCAGCGGAACGAACACACGAGCACAAGTGAACAGCGGATGATTGTTAGCGGAACGAACACACAGACACAAGTGAACAGCGGATGATGGTTAGCGGAACGAACACACAGACACAAGTGAACAGCGGATGATTGTTAGCGGAACGAACACACAGACACAAGTGAACAGCGGATGATTGTTAGCGGAACGAACACACAGACACAAGTGAACAGCGGATGATTGTTAGCGGAACGAACACACAGACACAAGTGAACAGCGGATGATTGTTAGCGGAACGAACACACGAACACAAATAAATAGCGAACGGCGGGTCAACGAGACGAACACACGGACACAAATGAACAGTGGTCGACGAGATGAACAAAAAGACCCAACAGCAATGACAGTCAGCGGGACGAACACAAGTAAAAATCGAACGACGGTTAGCGGGCCGAACACACACACAAAATGTATAGCAGATGACTATAGAAAAGCGAAGGCAAGGATGTATTGTAAAATAATAATTTTTTTTAACTAAAGATACTTAAAAATACTTAAAACATCTATTTAATTTGTTTTCTAATTGTTGGAAATAATCAGAAAAGTAATTGAGTTGCAAAGATTTTTTTTTATCTCTGTATTTAAAACTGAATTCTAACAGTAACACTTGCCAATATAGTTACCTTCTTATTTTGTCTTGAAACTTTTGCGATTTTCCTGAACTTGTTTTCTCTTTTTCAGTCATTTAAAGCTATCGCTCGTACTTTGGGTATTACTCTGACAGAGAAACCATCTTTGAGAAATTCCATCCTTTCAGCATTGCGTAAAATCATCTACACAAATTTGGACAAAGGTGAGTGTGTATTTTAACCAGACGTTTCGAGTTTTTGTAATTTTCCTCGTATTTAAGAAGCGTCCGATCGCTCGGTTTGTAATCCAAGGGAAGTAACTCGTTTCGAATTTTCTGATTAACAATCATTTCTGGAATTTTTCTTTTATGGCTGAAACAAAGATATAAATAAAATGTCATTGCACCTCGATTATTATTGTTATTTAAAACATTTTCTAAATTATTTATTTCCATTTATTGAATTATGTAATTTTTCGTTACAAGATTAATCCTAATATCTCTATCCCATAGTGTTTAAGCAACAGCTATGGGACAAAGGTGGTAATAAATTTACATTTCCTGATGTTTTCTGAGAGATAAAATTTTTGATCTTTTATTTATTTATTTTTTATTTTATTTTTTAATTTTTGTTTACCCGCAATCTTTCAACTATTCATTCTCCAACCATCATCAGGTTTACAATCATCTTTAATTAAAAAAAGAAAAGATTTATGCTGGTAATGATGTGGTTCTTAATAAAGAAAAAAATTATACAACCTGTCACTGACCTTTCTCAGTGCAATATAATAAACAAGTCGATAATAGGTTATACATAGGAAAAAAATACCTTTTACTTGAATGAGGCTGGGAAAGGACCTGACAATTAAAAGAAAAATGGTGGGGAGTAACAAAGTAACAAGGTTAATAAGAAAATTGGTCATTAACCCACTAACTGCCGCAGTTGTTGTCTTCTAAATGACACAATAACTTTAATAAAACAGTCCCGATAGAGTCCAAAAGCGTCTCTGCGTCCTTGTGGGTGAAAAATTATTTTCAACTCTCCAATCCAGATCAAACATCACAGGTCGTTCACTGCTCTATTGCTATCTCCATGGAAAGTGATCAGACGAACTATATTCCTTAGTCCCACCAATTCTAACCTTCATAGCTAAGACTGCACATTGCAGCTAACCACCTTCATTCCTTTTGTATTGCATTGGTGAGCAGTAAGTTACACTTGAACATCTTCTTCCCATGAACTGCTGCTCTGTAACTGACTCCCAAGAGGGTGTTTTTCATAATCACTATAATCTCAACCTGTTGAAATCTAGCGTTAACTCTTATCTTTCCTACATATACTCTTATCTTCCCCACATATCCACCTAAACTGTGCCTCTTACTCTGTAACCTTCCACCTCAAGTAGATCCCGGGCCTTGTGCAGGGGGTGAATGTCACTTTAAAAAAAAAAAAAAACTGTTGTGGTTGAATTGACAGAAATTTCTGATGATGAGGAGAGGGACTGTATAATGATTTTCCAAGCGTAACTTAGATGTGGCACAAGGCTGAAAGTATGGAGCACCCAGTGAAGGAGAGGGACTGTATATATGGATCCATGTTTTGCATTGCATTATGGATGTATTGATACTGCAGATAAATCTTCTTTTATGTTCTATAGTCTCTTCAGGACATGGGCAATCATGGATCTCCACAACTTCCTAACCTTTGTAGCTTTGTAATGTTTGTACCCTTACACAAACTTGTTAGATTACTCACTGTTTTCTTTTGTGAGGGTCTAATTCTCCAAGCCCTCTTTCCTCATTATGTGCCCCAGAAATTTCAACTCTTTCTGATTTTAAATATAAGTGTCCTTTTTGCTCCTATATTCCGCCCCTGGTATTCTGTGTAGAAAACTGAAGAAAAAAATATGTATTTCTTCTTCTGGCCAACATTGACACGGACAATAATACAGTATCTGATATATCTTTCTTTACAGATGATGATAATGTGAAGGAGATAGGTCGTTTTGCCAAGAACTTTCTGCCAATTTTCTTCAATTTGCTTATTGATTACGCAATAAATGCCAATGAAAATCCCCTGCAAGTAACTGTCTTTGAAACAATCAAAGCATACGTACAGATTGCTGATAAGAAAGTAAGACTTCCACTTTTTTTTTTTTTTTTTTTTTTTTGTGCTTTTCCTGATGCTTTGATGTAAAGTATTTTTCTGTTGGGAGTTTTCAGGAGGGAAGATTTTCAAAAAATTCTTTTGTAGGAAATTATTTACAAGAAAAATAAAAGTGCAGGCTAACTCTATATAATAATCAACTCAAAATGTCAGAATTCTTCATGTTCCTTCCTTTCCACATCTGTCATGAACTGCTATGACCTCAGTTTAATAATGGACTGTTTCTGTTTCGATTGCAAGGAAAAACAGAAGAAATAGATAAATCAGAGGCAATGTCTGGTTTTAGTAAGAAAAACGAAGTATAATTAATAAGAAAGAAAAAGAAACAGATAATACTATGAGGCGCTTAATAGGAGAAATGAAATAAGTGATTGCTTCTGCTTGTACGATGATATGCATAGATGTTGTGCTAATATACATATATATATATTATGAGATGGACTGTCCAACAATTATTTTAATATATTTTCTGTTTATATGTTATTTTTATAGATACAATTATTTAATAAATGCTCTGTTTATAATAAGCAGTATTAATTACATTTACTGGTCTTATGTCCAAGAAATTTCGTAGAAAATCTGTGTTCTCCTACAGGAATTGAACCTGTATCCTACATGGAACCGTCATTTGACCTGACATGCTATACCATTTAGCTACAGAGGAAGTGTCTGGTTAACAAAGTCAAATTACTGTTTTTAAACAAATTTCCCATAATTTTTCTCAAATGTTTGTATATTATGAAAGTTCAACAGTTATTTTAATGTATTTTCTATTTATACGTTATTTTCATAGATACAATTATTTAAGTAAGTGCTCTGTTTGTAATAAACCGTATGAATTGCATATACTGGCCTGAATGTTCAAGAAACTTCGTGTGTGTGTAATATATATATATATATATATATATATATATATACTAATTTCTTAAGAACTATCAAGTTTGCACTAATACCTAGAAGGTGATTGTTGGAATAAATTGTTATAAATATAAAGTAAAACTTTGTCAGTTTTGAATTTTCATTTGTACCCTCTTATTTATTTTAAATAACCTGCATTCATGTTTGAGTGATATAATTAATACACATCATTAAATAAATAAAAATACGGCATTTATTTCAAATAGGAAGTATCCACTATAATTACATTTGAAGTAATAAAAATGTCAAATTAAAAATAATGAAGGTGAGAGATTGCCTAAACACCTGTTTTACAGAGAGCTCACCCTTGGTCAGTGCCCTAGAGTCGATCACAAGAAATGTATCAAGGATGTTGTTAAAGGCAACCTGAAAACTCTTGAAATTAGTGTCAAAGACTGGGGGTGGGGGAGATACAGAGAATAGTTCTTGTTGGGGAAAGTTAGTTTTTGATGGTTGCAATCATTTTGTAATCAAAAGAGTTGAGTGTTTGAAGTTTAAAAACGCTCTTAGGAAAGGTGATGTACACTCGATCCCAGAAAATATTCAGTCTTAGCTTGTATGTAACATTGTCAGTAACATCTCATGCTGGATTTGCTACTCATCAAAGATCACATGAAAATCGGCAGTCTAATGCTCACTATATGAATGTTCTTCCTAACAGACCTGCAGGGTACTTATGTCAATTTTGTGATAAAATTTGTAGGTCTGACACCAAGCCAATGAAGCACATAAGTGTGCACAAGGAGAAAATCACTTTCAAGATTCTCCAGGAGTCTTTCATGTGTTACGTATTTAATACTAGATTAAAAGCCACCCTATTGCTGCATTTAAGTACTGTATTAATATTTAAGCTTACCTTTTAAAATTTCAACGATAATTCTTCTGCTGACAGTTAATTTTAAGACATTTTGATGTACGTAGGTCCTTATTTTCCATACAACAATTATTTTTATTTCATGGTTGACTTTCGCTGGATTTCACAATTAATTTTGATTATTCCCAAATTCATTTCCAAGTTATAAAAATTGTCATTGTACAAAAAAAATTGTCATAAAAATATCACGTGAAAAATTTACAAACATAATCACGATGAGAAAGTTGGGAATCCAAAATTTCAGGATTTCAGGTCCAGATCCAAGTTTTTAATTTGCTCAGAGTTGGCCTGATTCCAAAATGTTATATGTTTGGCTCTGGCCTCTAGGAATAAAATTGAAATATGTGACACAGTTTATTATATAGAAGGTATTAAGGAAGAGGCAGAATTGCAGAGATGGCCTTCTGTAAAGAATGTGTGTGTGTGTGTATATATATATATATATATATATATATATATTCATTCATTCATTCTATACTTGAAGAATGGCATAAAAATAGTATATTAATATTCAGCAATGCACAGGCAATTGTAAAACCAAATCTTGGAATGATGCACTCAAAAATCATAAATTGTATAATGTAAAGATATTTATTTTATCTAACATGGGATGTATGTGTGTGTGTTGTAATGGATAGTAGCTCAAGATTCAAAATCAGAGAGCCAGGTTCAAATTCAAGTCAAGTTTGTTACATTCACTTATGTGTATATGCCCTTAGAAAAGGTATGAATCTATCTCTTCTCCCCGCAGGTTAATGTAATATTCACTTGAAAAAAAAAAAAAAAAGAAGAAATATTCTGACAATCTACAATATATTTCAGCTTTAAATAAAACACAAAGAGTTAATAAACTATAAAAAACAAATCCCTTAATCTAACTGACACAAAACCACTACATATGTAAAATCCAGTTTGCTAACCCTTGCTCTATGCCAGCTGTCTCAAAATTATAATGTCTTGTGCTTTTATATATATTATATGTGTTCAGACATTATCCCTGTTTTGTTCAACAATTGGGTACAAGAAATTTTTGCACATAGCAATCATAAAAATGTCATTTTTTTTAAGACTTTTTTTTTTTTTTCATGCTTTCAACAAAAAACTGCAAACAAATTTATTAGATTAACTGATTTCCTCTTTTTTTTTTTTATACCAGCTCCTTGAAGACTATACAGAGACGAGTTTGAAGCGATTTAATGACAGTGAATGCACCAAAACCAAAAAGTGAGTTTCCAAGTTTTTTTAAAAATATATCTATAAATTTTAGTTTTCTCTTCTTGAAACTTCTGAAAATAAATTTCCAAAATCATTCCATTTTTACCGTTTTTTGTTTTACATGTTTTTTGCTTGATTGATTTTTCTATGGCTTGTCAACTCTTTGCAGGTTATTTAAATCCAGAAAATATTTTCAGACCAAAAGAATTTTTTTTTTTTAAGATAATAATGATTTAGTGATATGAGTCTTATTAATTGACCCATAGCTTGGGGGAGAAGACATTAATTCCTATCTTTCCCAAATGTACTTGCGCATAAATCCAACTGGAATTGCAACTCTGCTCTCTGATTAACAATTCCAAGCTATTACACCACCTGCACATCCAAATTTACAGTATCTGGTATTCCCAAGTGGTCACCCGTCTAACCAAGCTCAATGTTGCTTAACTTTGGTGATAGTACAGGAACTGGTGCTTGAACATGATATGGCTGTAAGCCTGTCTTAAAATGTATTCACTCTTTAAAAGGTGTTTCTTTGCTCTTGTTATCATTACCTAAGTTAAACAAATCTTTTATTCTTTTTAGTTGAATATTATATTTACTACCATATAAGATGCACTTTTTTCTTCCGCTCAAAATAAAATCCCCACCCCTATCCTCAAATGGTTGAATTACTGGTATCAGACTAACACCTCAACTTCTCTGTTTGATAGGCTAGTCTCCTGATGATTCAAGAATTAGATATATTTCATTGTGGGGAGAAAGAGACAAAACCACTTCTTAACTGCTGTTGTTCTGAGGTTCACTCTGACCCAGGGTTGTAGCACCTGTAAGTGTCCCAGTTATGTGAAAATAGTGAACTCCCAAACAAAAATCAACAGTACATTTTTTTATAATAAAATGACCAACAATACATTTTTATAGAAAAATGACAATCAATGCAACACTAAAAATATATATAAAAATATATTTTTATAGTAAAATTACCAACAATACATTTTATGATCTGCAAAATATATATCTAAAAAACATACCTTTACTTTGAAAGTATAAAATTATGTATAAAATATCTGTAGTCGAATGCATAAAATTACATACAAAATATTCAGATTTCAGCATTAAATAACCCATAGAGGTTGATATGCCACTAAACAAAATCAACCAACCAATTGCTTTTGAGAACAAGATTTCTGGCTTGTTACTTTGTCTGACTTTCTAAATCATTCATTCCTCTGTTCTTTTTCTTTTAGGGCTGTTCTTCTTGATCTGTGTATTTGTACAGTGCACGCTGCCACTGTCAGTCAAGTAAAGGAGTTGTTTAAATTAGCCACTGACAATTTCCAGGTAAGTAATATTTTACTGTTATGTCTGATGGCTATATTGCAGAAATTTTAAAATTGGATTGATTATGACAATTGTCTATAAATTCTGATCATAACAAGCCAAATTGCCAAAAGCTACTTGGGCAGAAACATGGATACTCTTGTATATGCTATCCACTGTGGTACTTTTACTAGGAAAGAAACAGGAAAAATTACTATAAATGATGGCTTACAAAACAAACATTTTTTTGTTCTTTAAGTTGAGGCCTCTCATAAGCTAATTTTATCCTCAATACTCAGGTTATAATTTTACCTCAGACAGTCACTTCTATTTAGCTTGATAGAGTCATGATAATATTTAGCCAGACATCATCATTATTATTATTATGCTTGTTCCTTTGTTATCATGCCCATTATGCACAACCAATACCTCATAAATAATGTATTATTCATAAACAGAAAATATCAGCTGTTGGTTTTAGTGAGATAGAGTAGATGGTAACTCTCTCATGTGTTTAGTGTCTGCTTCTGTGAATGGAAAAATTTGTGAATTAAAAAAACAACAATGTTTATTGGCCTGTGATTTTTAATCAGACTTGTTCTGATGAAAAATTGCTACCAAAATACTTGTTTGCAAGTTATTTTACATTGTTTTACAAATGAGTTAAAAAGAAAGAATGGTAATGAATTTGTAATTTTTTGTTTTTCACCTACAGAACACTGACCACACTCTTCAAAAGAAAAGTTACCGTATCCTGGAAATGATTTGCGGATCTGACTCTGAAGCTTGTTCAGAGTTTGTCAATCAAGAAGTGTTGCTGATCCAACAGACATTACTCAACAGTCTCTCGTCGTCCAGTCCTTCTTCCAAAGCTGTAAGTTGACATCAATGTTCTTCTTGTTTCACTTCCTCTTTTTTATTCAAATTATGCTTTAATTTAAATAAAAAAAGAAATTTGTCCAATTTTGCACATGCTACAGATTAATTTATACCAGTAAGAAATAGAAAATACCTTAATTCTGAAATAAGAAATTTGTGAACATTATTCCCAGAGCCATGAATGAATGAAAGAAAAATCACTCCAGTGCCATTAGTATTTAAAAATGGAAATGAATGATTTTATCCCAAAAGTTTTAAATTTTCAACCTAAAATTTATTAGGTGAAATTTCTGAGCTCAATCTGTTATTCCTTGAAAATCAGGAGTTAAGGGATTGTCAGTGATCAGAAACCAGAGACAGAATAGCGGAGATGCTGATAGGTGCACATCTTGCATCCATGACACATAAAAATTTTAAAGGGTGCAGTATTTTTTTCCATTTGTGCATCCCTGGGATGTAACTAAAGTTTCCCATACATTGCACAAAACCTAAAAATATATTCTTTCTGTAACCAAACGCAAATTATTTGTCAAATGAACTAGATGTTGATGATTGTTTTTATTTTTTTTTTTTTTTTAACATTTTGTATATTTGTTGTTAACATACGTTTTAAAATCATGGGGCCAAAATGTTTTAACTAACAAGTGGAGACATTTGTATTTAATATTCACTTCACTTTTTAAATAACATTTAACATTAAAGATGTCTTCAGACAAAAGAAATTTTCTTGTATGGCTTGCTACAGACTGTAAGAAAGACAATATTTTTTGTAATATTAAATAGTAAACACTACATTAATCATTTGATGTTATTCTTTCAAATACTTTTTACTAGTTTTTCCTTTCTTTCACTTACTCTTTCCTTCCTTTATTGGCTGGGTGGTGTGTGAGTAGCATGAAATAGACATCAATATCACCTTATCAGACACTTTCTTGGTTGGGGGGAGTATTTTTGTATTCAATTTTAAAAGACTTTTGTTCTGTCAATTTAAAAAAAACATCTTTATCCTGTCATAATTCTCACAATATAAAGTAACTTGATTGAACTGTGATTAAATGTAAATACTGTTTTTGTTTTACATTTATTGATTCAGTTAACAAAAAAAACAACTCTTGTCTGTTTAAAAACTTTGTTCTGTCATAACTCTCAAAAAAATATAGTTTCTTAATTGAATTGCGATTAAGTGTAAATACTATTCTTGTTTACTAATTTAATTTAAAAAAAAAAAAAAAAAAGCAAAGTTGTTCTGTCAATTTAAGTGATTTGGCATGATTAAAATTGTTTTTTTGGGATGATAATAAAAAAAACTTAGTGTAGTACTGCAGTTTAACACAACATTTTATTAAGAAATTTTAGTTCATACCCATTGACTTTTCCAGGGACCCACCAAAATCACTACCTGTGGCTCCCAGGGACTCACTACCTTAAAAACCTCTCAGCCTTATTGGAATAGGATAATTATATATACATTATTATAACGATTAGCTTATAATAATGAATACATAACTAATGATTTTAGTGTAGAAATGTATTGAAAATCAAGCTAAGAGAGTCAGGCATTAATGCAAGTATTACAGACAGAACAGGTATTTTCATTGGTTTGGAATTAATGCAAGCATTGCTGATAGAGCTGCAATTATATGCATAATTATTAAAACTAATGTTCTTCTATTTATTCAGTCACATTTCAGAAAGAAAAATAGCATAGCATTTAAAATATTCTCATCAAAATAATAATTAATGATCAAGAATGTGCAAGTCTGATTAATTAATGGTGTATGTGCAATTGTATTTTCCAAAAACCTCATTCAAATATACAGTCACCCTTATCTTCTTAATGTCATTTCTAAATATATACTGTGCATATATTTTCTTTTAGCCACGGTTACGATGTCTGATTCATATTGTTAAGAAATTGAAAAGCACAGAAACAGAGTTTTTGAAAGTTACCATTCCTGAGGTATGTATATGCTTTCTTTTTCTTTTTTCTTTTCCTAAGCAGTCAGTCAGAGTTGTACAAGTACTTGAATTTTCCAGTATGATGAAAATGTATTGATTTGTGTATAAAAAAAATCTGAAGCTATAAATCTTAACCTTAATCACTTCATTTGCTTTACAAAAAGTTTATCCTCCTACTGAAAATAACTCTGAATTGAATTTGTTTGAATTTCATAGTTGTATTGTCATATCCTACTATGGCAACAGAAAATAATTGCAGTAAGAGGCCTTGAAAAAGAATTGAAGTAGAAAGAGAAGTAATATTAATAATGTAGAATGCTAAAGGTTAAATGGTGGGAAAAGTTTACACAAATGTGTACACCAAATGACTAAAAAGAAAATGAGAAAATTCATTTACTTAAAAGATAAGTTTTATGCTTATTTTTGCTTTAATTATAGACAATAACTGTAAAAATGATAACTTTACTCATTTACATTTGAGAAAGAAAATATAGAGGAATAAAACAAATGTTAAACTCCTAAATTAAATATCTTTTTTACCAGTATTATATTCCTTGAAGTTTTCCATGAACAAAATGGAATTGCCACCATTTTTTTGCCTATTTTCTTTTTTCAGATGTATACTTGCAGACAGCAAATTTATTTCTTGTTTAACTGAAAAACATTCATTTGATTAGATATTGTATCTCAGATTTTTCTGCATATTATCTAAATAATTAGCAGTATCATAAAAAATGAGCATGGCTAAAAAAAAACAAACAAAACATTAACATTGTAACATCTTTATGAAGAAAAGTCTAGCACTCTTTGAAAATGTACTTTATTTGCATATCCTTATCACTTTTCAGGCAATTCTGTGCACACGTGATGTCGGAATAAAAGCAAGGCAAGCTGCCTATACTCTTCTTGTTGAAATTGGAAAGACTTTCATCAGATTTGAGAATTCTGATGAAGATCATGAAGGTAAGGAGACTTCTCACTGACCAATTCCAAACTTACTATGGTTACCAATATTATTACTATTCTGTCATTTCTGTTAATTACTAAAAGAACTCACACACACCCAACAGCTTCTTGAATTTTTTAAGTTTATTTTTTTTTCTGGCACAAACAAGGCTAGAGAGTCCAGTTAGCCTTTCTATTCTATCCATAGTTGGAGATGGGTTTGAAGAGATAGATTTGTAATTTTCCCAAGGCCTATAAGTGCAAAGTAAATGCCAGCTGACTTGGCTGCAATTTGAACTCGACTTGCTGGTTTCATTTTCAACAACACCATAATAATATGTAAAATCCAACATACTATCCTATTCTGTTGAAATATTTGAAATGAGAAATGAACTTTCTGTTCAGAGAAGTATACTCATCTTGGTTGTTATACAAACATTTTGAATTTTGTACCCTTCAGCTTTCTTCAGGTTCTATCTCACTCAGTAATCTTCTAAAGAACTTTAAACCAAACACTTTCTTCAATCCACTCTGATAGATTGTTCTCATTCTATTTTCTTTGCTTTGTATCAGTTAATACTCTTTGATCTATTCACCTTCGCAAAAAGTGCTAACTGATTGTGATATACTCTAAGCATGGAAAGCAGAATTTGAACAGGTAGCTTGAATAAAAATTTTGGTTTCAAACTCAAAAGGTTATTAAGTACAACCGATGCATAAAGAAGGCCAGAGGATACAATGACCTTTAGGATAACAACCAAGATGTGTACACCTGTCCAAATGTAAAGCCATAAAATAACCATCTTTTTGTCTTTTACCCTCTCTATTTTCTTCTCAATTTTCTCTCGGTCACAGGCTAATAAAAGCAAAATATCTTAATATTTTCTACATGTCCACACATACACATATAATGAGTGCAGATTTAATTTGTTAGCAGAGTTCATAGGTTAAACTCATGTTTATTTTTCAAATATAAATGTTGAAAGGAAAAGAATAATTTGTAATAAGTCTTTGTTTGCATGGCAAAATATCCATATATATGCGTGTGTGTGTGTGTAAAAATACAGCAGCAGTAAACAAACTGACCTAGAGTGAAAGAGATGCTTGATGACTGTTCACTTGTTAAGACAAAGTTAAAAACCTGATCATGTCATCAGCTGTTGAATTGAATCTTTATTTTAATTGATGTTGTTAACCCAAAATGTCTTCTCATAAGATCAACTTATTACTTATGAATAAAGCTTAATTTTGGTGTTCATGAAACTGAATCTGTGTGTGTGTGTGTGTGTGTGTAAAACAATTACAGTTAGAAAAATTATTCTTCTCGAGATACGAAAATTTGAGATTGAAGTTACAACAATGACAATGAATTTTATTTGATACTCAACATCAATTGCTAGGAGAGTTTAACATGTTCTACTTGTTTTCCACTTGTAATTATGAAAGTTGAAAGGAATAAAATAAAGTGTACGAAATGTTTATTTTTTGTCTGGCAGAATTTCTACACATTTTGTGTTTGCAGAAGAGAAAACAACAGATTAATGTAAGAATAAAACATTTGATGATGACAACTGTTTACCTTGAATTACTTTTGTTTTTTCTAGATGCTATTACTGAGTATTTCAAGTTGATATTTGAAGGACTTGCTTTGTCACCGACGGTTATCAGTGCTACACTATTGGCCATGACTCGCATCATGTATGAATTTAAAGGTAAGGCATTTTTTTTTCTGTCTTTTTCTCTTGCAAGTTCATTACAGTTCAAAAGCTTGAGGAAACCCCTGGTAATTTTTTAAATTGTCTGAAAAAGTAGTTGTTTTGTACTTTAAATAAGAGACAATTATTATACATGGTTAAAAAAAAGTGTGACATGACTGTTTATTAGAAATTTTATTATGTCATAAAGAAAAAAAGCATTTTATGATTAAATTTTGTTCTTGTCAAAATATTCTCCTTTAGCCTTGATTATTGCATCATAGATTCTTGGCATTCGTTGCAAAAGTTTCTCAAAGTATAAGTTTGATAATTGATACCATTCTTTTTTTTCAATGACTCTAAGAGCTCTTTCATTTTCTGTCAAGTTCGTCCAATGCTAATTCTGGGGGTGGCTTCAAACTTTTGAACTGTAGTGTATATGGTGTCAGTTTTTCACTAATGAAAAAAATAAATACTTGGGGTATTTCTTTTTGGGACTTAGTGTAGAAATTGTTCAAATGAGCATTTATTCTTAGCATTCTCAAAGATTTTGATTGTGCTATTGTAAATAGTGTGTAAGTTACAGCAAGTTAGACATTATTCTGAATATGGCCAGTATATTGTGGCCATGTTCCTAGTTGATGTCATTAAAGTTTGGCTTTCTTTTGGGCCCTTTTTTTATGATAAGGGCTTCAATTATATTGCAAAATTACTTTTTTAGTCTTTAATTAAATAAACATATAATTATTGTTATGGTACTGTCACATTGGTCAGCTGCAATTGAAATTTCATATGCATTAGACACATAATCATCGGACAGCCAGCAACAGCCTTGTCGTATCATGGGCATTTATTCCCCGCCTCAGCTAACTCAAGATGTTATACTAGAGGTGGTCAGCATAGATACAGTGTATATACTTACTATAATCACTGAAGGAGAAAAACACCCAATGACAAATGATGATACAGACATTATTTCACTGCTGGCAGTGATGTTTAAGCCTTAAATGAGAAAACACACACACACAACCCGGACACCCAAAAATATGTCTCCCAAAAACGTTCACTATAATGGAATCTATAAATCCTTAGCACAGGAATGATTATATAAAAAGTACCCAACACTGCCAGAACAGCAAGACTCCCATACAAGAGTTATTATTACATTTTTGTAAGACAAAACCACTTCTAAAACAGTGCTCTATATGTAATGGCAGAGCGAAAATATTATTTTCAATATGGTGGTGTCTTGTTGGTTGGCTGCAACTAAAGCTATAAATAGGTAGATAGATTTAACAGAAAACCTTTTCAATTTTCAAGTTAGAGAAGTTTTTAAAAGATTAAAAACTTTCATATATTATTTTCATTTTATTCTATATTTTTACAATTCCTGAATATTTTTAACATTTTCCCTGTAAATTTTATTAAAATTATAAGAAGGTTGTAACCCTGTTTCAGTGTTTTAAATGCCTCAGGATGCCTGAATATGATTTGAAGCAGGAAATAATTAAGATTAAACAGTGAAAAATTTAAGGACTTATTCTCCTTGGCTCTTATCGAGAATAAATAAGTAAATAAAAAAAAATTAAAAATAATAATTAGAAGTCATAAAATGAGTTTGGAGAATACCCTAGGCTAAATTTGAACCTGAAATATAAACTAAATTGAATTCATTAAGATTTATTAAGACTAGATCTTCCCTAACCTACCCAGTTACCTCTGGGGCAGTATGACAAGATTTATGGTTTTCTAAAACTTGAAGGAGAATTCTTACTATATTTAAAGTACTATTAGGCACCTAACTCATAAATCATATACAAAAATTCAGCCCAGTGATTTGGCCTGACCACATTCTGAAGAGAGACATCTGTTATCAAAGAATGGTCATTAATATCTTATTGAAAAACATGTAATAAATTTTCTTATATAAAACCAAACAGAACGAGATAGTAGAGTCAGAGATGGAGAGACCAGATGCTAAGATAGTCTGTTATAAACCACCCCTCCCTTCTGCTATTAATGAATTCACAGGCATTAGCCCAATAGAGAAGATAGTGCCTAGATTGAGATCTATTAAATTATTATAAATTACTGCTAGAATAACTTTCCTGCCAAAACATTGTCAACCAGACCATAGAAAAATCCCTAAAAACAATCGCAGTAATGAAAACTTGGGAATCCAAAATTTCGAGATTGAGGGTCTGGATCCAGCCCGGAATGTTTATAATTTGTTCACAAAGTCAGCCTAATTTCAAAATGGTATGATATGTTAGGCGATGACCTCTAGGAGTAAAGTTGAAAAAGTGTGACACAGTGACACACTGACATTCACATTTATTATATAGAAGATTTTAGGGTGCAGTTGGCCGTATGAAAATGTTAAGTAGGCAGCAGTGCAGCTCACGGCTGAACAAAATAAAACTAGAAACTGAACAAAGCAATCATGTTATAAGATAAAATGTCAGTAACATTTTTTATATTTTGTCAATTCCAAATGATTAGCTATGAAATAGATTAACTGCTTGAAAGAAATTGTCATGATAACTATAATCCTGTTCTTAATTTCTTTAATTTTTAATGTTTTTATCTCCTGTTTTGTAGACATCATCAACCTGTCATTGTTGGACTCTCTTCTTGAACATTGCTGTGTTTTGCTGGTCAGTAAGTCCCGAGAAATTGTGAAATCAGCCCTCAGTTTTCTGCAGGTTTTGCTTTCTTCTTTTCCTGACTACCAGTTGGGTTGTCATCTTGATAGATTGGTAAGTAGCAAGTTATTGCAAGCTGTTTTAGGGTTTTTTTAATACGATTTTAAACAAAATTAAGTAGTTATGCTCTCTTTTCTGGTCCCAATATGAAGTAGCTAGAGAAAGTCTTGGAAAATTCTATTCTATTTGCTATATCTGTTCACCTGCTAAATGTATTATGGCTATTTTAGTACTTACTTATTTCTTTCTATGCATATGTATATGGCATCCAACAAGGTCCCACCTTAAGCAAAACAAGTCCACTCCATGATGTTTTCAGCCTATTTTTCCTTTGTCTGAGTCAGACAATGGAAAAATGTGTTGACAACATCACAAAGTAAACTGGAAGCCAGAACATATAAGGGGGAGCTCTGCAGTGCCTCTACAATCACACCTCATCACAAGACTGGTGATCTTTGTGCGTCTACATAGGTAATCATTAGTGCATAGAACAGTTATTAAAGAGTATTTTTTATGATTACAGTATTTTCTATGTCAATCTCCCAAAGATGTTGACTGATGTTTGTAATTCACTAAGCCTGAGAGTAGATGAAGGAATGGAACTTTCTGGACAATAACAAGTAAATTTTAATCCTCTTGACACACAGCTGTTTAAAACCCTTGTTTTTGTCATATAGGAAAATCCAACATGGCGTGTAAATGAAATATTCGGCAAAAAATCTCATTCGTCAGTAACATTTTAAACACCTCATAGAATGTAAAGTTCTTAAAGAAAACCTATGCCAAAGTGTTTTCCTGAATCCTTGATGACTTGGCTGTCCGAAAATGGTAATATCATAATGAAATAATGGAAACTGACCGTGAAAAATACAATTATGCGCAACAGGTTTTCAATCAATTAGTAAACTTTTGGACCTTTTAGGGCGACCTTATAGGATCCAGACGGCTATTTTTTGCACATGGAATTATTCACTGGTAATTAATCTTCGATTTGGCTGTGGAAAATGTCACTTTCGCGGTTAGCATTAAGAAATTATGCCCAATTTTCTGAGAAAATCCCCTTTCTTTATGAAAAATATTTATTTTTAAACTTCAAAATAACATCATTCAAAATTCATTCCTTTCTCTTTCATTTGGCATGAACATCATTGAATAAAAAGAAAGGCTAAATGGACCGGCGATGGGAAATATGAAAGATATCTTGTGAAAAAAAACAATGTCGGCTGCTAAGTGTTGTTGTCATCACCCGGGTCACGGGGTGTTAAAAACAAAACAAAACTCATCAAGCCATTGTTCAAACATAGGTTATATGAAGCCCTAGTAATTGTGAACCTTTTTTTTTTTTTTTTTTTTTTCACTCTTTGCTTTTATCTGGGAGTGGTGGGTTTTATTACAACTTATGTTCTAAGGTTTGCCGTCCGTTTATGGCTGGCTGGCTGGCTGGCTGACCTTTGACCTACACGTCAAAGTCAATTAGGTTTATTTTCCCTTATTGCTATTTTTAGAGAAACAAAAAAATTTTGGTTTCTGGTGGTTAGGAATTGCAGATAAATCTCTTGCCTTTTACTAAAGATTTCCGTGGCCAGGTGTCAATTTTTTTAACCCTTGGCAGTCATATAATTGAAAATTAACAATGGGTTTTGTCGCATTTTGAACCCCTAGGAATGTTGATTTCCTTCAAAACTCTCAATTTTATGCCTGAAATAGTTTGATTATGATTTAGGCTTTCTGATTTTCAAAAAAAAAAAAAAAAAATGGTTAATTTCCCATTAATGGGGGAAATATTTGTTTAGAACAAGAAAAAATGCAAAATTTTCACTATTTTTTCACATTTTACCCACTGAAAAAAAATTTGAGTCATTTACACCAGCTAATTTTACTTTTAAATGAAAGAATATATCTTTTGCTTTCTGAAAATACCTAGTTTCATGGGGTTCAGATCAAAAAGTTTCCTGATATTAGTTTAGGTGATGATAAAACAGTCATTTTCAATATTTTACCCTAAAAAGTATGAAAACCCATATTTTGAGAGAAAATAAGCTGTGACAAAATGACTTTTGCTATTTTGTGATGATTTTCACTTGGGAAAGAAAATTTTTACCATAGGAAACCTGAATTGACTTTATTTAAGTTCAGTGGGTCTGTAGGAAACCTCAAACAGCTGTGGACACTATAAGTTATTTTTTATTGGAGAATAAAAGAAAATGAACCTTTCTCTTGGCTATATTTTTAGTTTTCATCAGATCTCTGCCATAAGAATTTTTTTTTTTTATCTATTTTTATTTTTTTTCAATTATTAAACTGAAACAATACTAACTACCCATATTTATTGTTTAACCTAGTCTGCCACATGGATTCATTGGTGGAGCAGCTACACTAACAAACATGTCTAGATAAGTTTGCTACCCATTGCACCATAACATCCAAAATATTAAGCTTAGCCAACCCTGATACAAGGATGTGCACATAGTGTAACGGTTACCAAGGAAGTGGGTTTGGCAGGCCAAGTTCAAATTCCCACTGAGGTGTTTGCATTCACTCTCAGATAGATACTCTCAAAAGACATGAATCCAACTCTTTTTCACCCACCCCAAAGTATGGAATGCTGGCAGGGCTGACTGGATTCTGTAGCTTTAGTTGGCAACCAGTCTTGAGTAAGTACAACTCTGAATTGAAAGTCAGCTGGATGTGAGGTTAGCAACTCTGCCTCGTATAAACCTACTTGTTATGGAAACCATAACAGCAACACCACGCATGTTGAGGCAGTGGACCTATACACTAAAGGAGAGTCTGTAGAGTAACATACATACATACATACATACATACATACATACCCTGATAAGCATACATACATAAATATTATGATGAACATACATGCTCAGATGAACACACACACACACACACACACACATATATATATATACACACACACATACTCACATACATCATTATATAATTTTCTATTGATAAATAAATATTTAGGGAATTAATTTTTTCATTTCCTAGATTCTCACACTAACAGCCATGAAGGAAGATGCCCGACATCACTTCAGGTTTAGAACAAAGATGATTTATGCCAGGCTGATCAGAAAGTTTGGGTGAGTTGAAATGTTTCTTTCATTGAACTGAACTTAAGGACATGTGTTTTCTTTTCAGGAGCTATGCATGTACTTTTGAGAATGGCTTAGTTTCATATTCATGCATGCACACACACACACACGCATAAATAAAGAGAAATATATTGAGAAAACCTTCAAACTTCACTACCAACATCATTTTGTCCTCAGCACTAAAAAATGAGCTTACAAAATTCACAAAGCCAAATAGACAGACACCACCAATAACTCTACTAACAAAAATTAGACAAAATTTTTAATCCTACCCTCTAACATTCTTCCTACTAAACTTGCAAACAAATTAGTCATCCCTAATACTAGGATCGCTACCACCACCTCCAAGACAATTGGAGATATAATTAGGAAGAATATTAAACCCAACACCAATTCAAATGTCGGGATTTATCAAATAAATTGTTTACAATGCAGAAATGTTTGTTAGGGAGACATCACATGATCTAAAAGCCCACATCTACAAACACTTGCATTTAGGCAAATCTAACTCTTGTATTGCATCGAAACTATCCTGGACATAACTTTAATTTCACTAATGCCACCATAATTCTTTAAGGAGACAATACTTCGAAAACTTACATCGCCATCTTTCTTTGAATCCATTCTGAAAGAATCTATCTTATATAAGAATACATGTTTAAAAGATCAGCTATAGATTAAAATGACGTGATAGATATATATATATATATATATATATATATATACACACACACACACACACATTGCTGCACAAAAGTAAGTGAACCCCTAGGATAATATTAAAAAAATTTCTCTTTTTTCCAGATAATCAACAGTTCTTTATTAAATTGTATATTCATTAAGAAAAACATTTATTAAATGAATTACAACCACTTTAAAAATTTTATCAAGCTGGAAATAAAAAATATTGATTAAAACTTAAGATGTGCAAAAGTAAGCAAACCCTTATATTTAATATTTGAAGTCACAGTGTCGACCAGTCTTTTTCTATGATTCTTAAGTTTCTAGCAATCATGAGCATCAATTTTGGGCCATTCTTCTTACTAAAGCTCCCACAACTGCTTGATATGACCTGGGTTTCTTGTTTGTACTGCCTTCTTTAACTTAAACCAGATTTTCAATTGGATTTAGATCAGGACTTTGACTAGGCCATTCCAAGACTTTGAATTTCTTTTTTGAAACCTATTCTTTTGTGTATGTACTTTTGATTTGCAAACTAAGCCAAACATTCAAAACTAGGGCAAGATATTTTCATTCAGAATTGCTTGGTATCTTACAGGGTCCATTGTGCTATCAATACATGCTATTTTGCCTGTTTCTGTTGCAGCAAAGCACCCCCAAATCACAATGTTGCTACCACCATGTTTAACTGTTGGCACCAAATTCTTCTCTTCAAAAGCTATATGATGCGCTCACCAACCATACCACCTATCATTCCTCCCAAAAAGCTCTAGTGTGCTCTCATCTGACCATAAAACCTTTTGCCAGAACATTTCTAGCTTATTAATATGGGCTTTGGCATAGTTGAGCTGAACTTGTTTGTGCTTTTTCATAAACAGTGGCTTTTTTCTATGCATTCTGTCATGAAGACCAACATTGTTCAGATTTTGTCACACTGTAGACATATGCACATTGATTCCAACATTGACCAGGAAGCCTTGGCGTTCACAGCAGGATTCACCTGGGCTTGCCAAATAAGATGTCTACTTGCTCTTGCAGTTATTTTTTGCAGACAGTCACTTGATTGTGATGCTATCATACCAAAGGCCTTCCATTTATAAATAATTTGTCACATGGTGGAGACCTGCAGTCTAAATCATTTTGTTAGCTTTTTGTAGCCTCTCCATCATTATAGGCTTCAACTATGCGATTTTTTTAAGCTTCAGTAAACTTTTGATTTTGGCATTAATTTTTTTAAATTTAGTCTCTAACTGCACACCTAACACCACATAAAACAAAATAGTGATTTTACTTATTTTTGCACATCTTAATTTTTAATTAATATCTTTATTCCAGCTTGATGAAAAATTTTGAAGTGGTTATATTTGTGGTTTATCTGGGGAAAAATTTTTTTTTTTTTTTTTATTTATCTTAGAGGTGAATTTACTCATGCGCACATATATATATATATATATATATATATATATATATATATATATATATATATATAACCTATAAACATGCAAAGCAAAAATGTATTTTGTTATTTATAATAAAAACATGCAACATTTGTTTCAGAAACATGTTTGCTTGTGTTTGTAAGTAGAGTAAGAAACAAGCAAAAACAGTGAAGTGTATATATTTCAGCATATTATTTATGCTGTTTGCAGTATTTTCTACACTAGCTTTTTTCTTCTTTTTTCCTTTTTTTTCTTTTTTCCTTGTTCTCTTTTTTTCCTTTTTTGTTCCTTTTTTGTTTTTGGGGGTAATTTTTTAATTTTTTTTTTTTTTTTTTTCACTTTTAGGTACCAGATTATTTACAACAAATGTCCTGACAATGTGAAGAAAGTTCTGGCTAACATTCAAAAAGCAGAAAAGAGAAAGAAACGTAAAAAGTCCAAGAGCCATGATGATGATGATGATGAGGAAGTTGATGAAGTGGAGTTATCTGCTCCTGTTGAAAGGTATTTACATTTTTATTGTAACCAATTTAAATAAACGAATGAACACAAAAGGGATATTTTACAAAACAATACACTCAGTATGTTAATCATTTATCATAATAAGTCTGACAATGATTTCAACTTAAAGAATGCAATTTTAATTAAAAGGGAAAGTAATTTATTAAGGGGAAAATGTATTGAAAGTGCACTAATTTAAGTGTCTACCATGGTAAATATACGTTCAGCATCACACAACATATTTCCTTTTCTAACAAAATTATTGTTATTACAATGTGGAATATTTAAAAATGGTAGCAATAAAAATAATAGCAATTACTTGATTCACTATAATTCCACCTTTATTTTTTTCCACCTTTCTTCTGGTTTGATTGGTTCAGCATGAAAAGATTAAGTAAGATTTTTGTATCTTAGAATCATTTTAAAATACAGATTATACAAAATAGTTTCTGTCATGCAAAAAATACTAGCATCTGCAGTTTTAACAATATTTTCATCTTCCAATTTAATTTTTTTTCTTTTTTTTCCTTTTCATTTATAAAGACATAAATAAAACCAAATTCATTAAATAAATCAGTATTCTGAAAGCAAACTATTTTTCTCCACTTTAAATTCTTCATTTTCTTTTAGCCAACCTTTTCTTGTATTCCCTAACTTCTTTCAACATTTTCCTTCTAGTTATAAAATTCTCTTCTTACCATCTTTCTTTCTACTCTTTCACTCATTCCTTATTATTATTTATAAGACATATTTTTCTTCCGTAACCAGTGTGGAGGATGTGCTTAAAACAATTGATCCTGATTTGGAAGATGATGATGACAGTAAAGAACAGAAGAAGAAAGCCAGAAACAAAAAATCCAAACCTGGTGGTCAAGCTTGGCTGCAGGAGAATACATCTGAAAACATCACTGACTTCATGGATATCAGTGCTAGTCGCAGTGTTACAAGTAAGTCACAAGCAATATATGAAAAGAAAACTTGAAGAAAATTAATAAACTATATATTCTTAATTAGAATTACTACCATATTTGATTGACATAACCACTTTTATCCTGAGAAATGGATAAATATCTCCCAGGTCTTATATTCTAAAATAAGTTATCTGGTAAGCCTGTTGTTTACCCACATGCTTACTAGTACTATCTAAATTCCATAATAGTGTAATATTAAATTGTAATGTCAGTTTAGATCTTAAGCTGATATATAAAAGTGGTCACTATGTTGAACAGACTCCTGTGTTGGTGCTTCCCCGAACACACAATCTTAACCTCTTCAAGTTGTTAGTTATTTGCCTTCCTTATCTTCACTTCCTACCACCTCCCTTTTCATTCATATCACACACCTCATTCTTCATTACCATATTAACAGTAATCCTCTAACTTGAGTAGCTCCCAAGCCTTGTATTGAGTGAATTCTTGTAAAAAAAAAAAAAAAAAAAAAGTGTTTTTTAGAAAATCTCATCATGTATTTCTGAACCCCTATTGTACCTTGAGGGTCGAAGTTTTCATGCTATCACTGATCCCTGCATACTATCAACGAACAAAATAATTAGCTTATTAAATGATTTATCATTTATGAAAATACTTTATTCTGTTAAGAACTGTAATAGTTTTACTATATCAAGGTTTCTTTCATTAGAAGTTTCCAATCATTTTTTAACCAATCTTTTCATTGTATATGTATTTTGGTGATTTATTTCTTAAATTTGATTTTTTTTTTTTTCTTCCAGCCACAAAACCATCTAAAGCCTCAAATAAGACCAGCAAAGAATCAACATTTAAAACTTCTTCAGATGGAAGGCTTCTCATTTCAAATGATGATGAAAAGGGTAAATAGATTATCTAATTAAATTAAGATGGCACTTTTTCTTTTGAAAACGGACCTCAGAAAATCTTTTTGAAGCTTAAAAAAAGAAAAAGGCTGTACATTTGGAACTGTGTAGCTTAGGAGGTCTTAGTTTTAAATGCTTGGATTGATTTCAACATACTTGAGTAAAGTCTTGATTTTACACATATTCAGACATAATGTGATGATCAGGTTTTTTTTTCTTTTCTTTTTTACTAATATTTATCCTATATTAATCTTTCTTGAATCTTGATTTCACACAATCCAACTTGTACGATATTCTCCAATCCCAAAAATCACATTATAATGAAGTTAATCTGTATAAAATGTTAATTATCCTTTAAAATCATCTACTTTTCATTTATCTCAATATTTAATTATAGGTTATATCTTATAGATAATAATTATAATATTAATAAAAAAAATAACTTATTAAATTATTGAAATAATTTTAAGTATTTCAATTGATAACTTATTCTTTTGAGAATTGACCTTGGAAAAAATATTTTGAAGGTTAAAAAATATATATACAAAGGACTGTTGAAAAGTTCTCAGCCAAGAAAGGATTAAAATAAATTCTGATGTTTGGTCAGATTTTGGGAAATAGGTCAGACCAAGAACTTTTCAGCACCCTTTCATATTTTTAGCTTTGTGTGCCTTCAGGGCTTTAGTTTTAATACCATGATTTGACTGATCTGTGTAGACTCCATTTTATATAAGATAATTGTCATATATCTAAGTTTATGGTTATTTATAATGAAATATAAATGAGAGCAAGCAAAAAAAAAACAATATAAACATAATTTGTTTTAATAACTTTTAAATCATAATCTAATAAGTTTCTAATAATAAAAAGAATATAAGAAGTGCTATAATAAAAATTATTATTAAACATTTATCAAGATAGCTACCTCTTCTTTTGAAAACATTCTCAGAGCTAAAAGAAGGAATCCTGGATAAGTGTGGTTTTAATTTTAATACCATATCTGGATTTATCTTGGTATATATTATATGATAATTATGACAATATTGTTCTTTTCCCATAACAGCTTTCAGAAAATCCTTTTGATTTTTACTTTATTTTTTGTTTTTTGGGGTTTTTTTCCTTAATTTTTTTAGAAATAACTGTGAAAACTGTTTTTATCATCTTTTCTGGCTATTCTTTACTTTTTCTAACAATAGTTTCTTTTGGTTTTTACTTTTTAGATGAAAAGGAATCTTCTGAAGATGATGATGATGACCTTGATGAAGTACTGCAATCCATTGGGGCTAAAATGAAGGTATTTATGCATTCATTTATTTTTTTATTAAATAATGATAAAACTATATTCATATCTATGAGTACCCTATGTTATTTTAGAAAAAAAAAGTGTTCACAAACTCAATGAGTTTGTTCTTTTTATGCTAATTTGAATACAATCAGGGCCAGATTATGACCTTTTTGAGCCTCTAGGCTAATGGAATTATGTACTGCCACCCTCTAACAGAGCCACTCTCTTGAATATTTTTTAATGATATATTTTAGCAACATTTATGTAGTTTGAAGTAAATTTATTGCAGATTCTTTAACTAAACTAGAAAATAGCTATCTTTTGTTTGTCAACAAAAATATTCTTAAAGAAATACCACTATTTTACTATTTATTGTAGACCAAATTTAGCACATACTTCAACACAACCATGGTAAAAAAAAAAAAAAAAGTTTTTTTTATAAACAGCATTACAACAATAAAACAATCTATATATTAATACGCTTGTACCTGCCTAATGTCCATACATATGTGTCTGTCACACTTTCTTTGTTAAAGCAAAAAAATTAGAGCTAAAACTATTTTAAAGTTGCATTATATTCCTGATGAAATAACGAATCAAGTTGATTTTTTTTTTACATTTAATCAATCAGATCCTTGCAAATTGAACTGGGGTCATGGCAAGTGTGGAAACAAATTGCTTCTGTTTTTAAATAAAAATCGGTAAATTTGCAAATAATACCCCCAGTGACCAATTTAAAAAAAAAAAAGAAGCATCATTCCTGGTGTAAAAAAAGCCTGATTATTCTAAAAATAGCATTAAAAAACGTTTAGGAGATATTGACAATCTTAGTTACTATTTTTGTAATAATCATGCTTTTTTACACCAGTAATAGCACATTTTCTTAACATTAGTCACTGGGGCATTATCTGCAAATCATGCAGTATTGGAGGCCAGACTATACACGGGACCCCAACTAAGATTGTCAATATCTCATAAATGATAGTTTCCTCAATTTTTAATGCTATTTTTGGAATAATCAGGCTTTTTCAGACCAGTAATAATGTTTTGTTTTTTTTTAATTGGTCACCGGGGCATTATCTGTATGTTCCAGTAAATGGGTAAACTCTTCCACAGTAAACAAGGCCAATAATGGTGACCAGGCTGTAACCAGAATCCAACCAAGATTGTCAATATCTCCTAAACAGTAGATTTCTCTCAATTTTTAATGCTATTTTTGGAATAATCAGGCGATTTTACACCAGGAATGTTTTTGTTTTTTTTTAAATTGTCACTGGGGCATTATCTGCAAATTTACCTAAAAATCTAATATTCCCATGTTCAGAAAAAAAAATGAAAAAAAGTTACTAGACCTGGTCAGCAAAATGGTCATTAAGAGCCGTTTCTAATGGAACTACTGAGACAATTTCGAAACATATCACCGTTTGATGTCCATAAAGTCAATAAAATTAATTTTATAAGAAGAAAACTTACAGATTGTGTTTATAATCTTTTAAAAAATTGTGCCTAAACTAATGTACACAAACCCACAAGATCAGTTTTACATTATACGCTGACCATTCATATCCAATTAAAATGTTAAATTATGATTTTAATTAACAATTAAAGCTACGATTCTGTCAGATGAGGCCCATTAATATTTAAAATTGAAATGAAATCCATATCTGTCAGTTATTTATCGATTTATGGGTGTCTTTATTTCTGTACACATGTTCTGCCATTGATTTACTTACATAAATAAATTAGTGAGTAGTAAGGATGAAAAGGTTACAGTTTAATTTTCATTTTCCATCCAAACTAGCAAACGAATCAAACCGATTTTTTTTTATTTTTTACATTTAATCAATCAGACCCTTGCAAATTGGTGGCATAGAAAGTGTGGTCTATATTAATATGCTTTATACAGAAATATATGTGTGTGTATGTGTGTGTATATATATAATTCTTACCCCTATAAATTCGGTCTGCTTAGCAGTAAATGAAGAAATTCTAAGTAGATTGCCCACTCAAACTAAGACATATCCAAACACCAACACTAACTTCTGATAATGAAGAAGCCCAGCATTATCCTTTGAAGTTTATAAACTCTTACACCTTCTGGAATGCCTCCTCATTGCCCTAACTTAAAAGTTGGAGGAATTATTATGCTTTTTAGTTTTAAATTTTTTACCTTAAGAATGAGTTGTGTATTTACTGCTACTTTTTTATTAACCCATGCAAAAGAGACACCATTTGAAATCCTTTAATAATAGTTCTCTCTAAAGATGAAAGAAAAGTAACTGACTGAGCCTGTAAAATTTATGGTTTTTGGATTTTTCTAACTGATTTTTACCTAATTCCTACTTCAGTCTGATCAGAGCAGGAAGCGCAAGAGACAAGCAAGCTTTCAAGAAGAATGTGATGCACCAAAATATATTGGTAAGTGTCTATATGTTGGTTTATGATTTCCTAACCTAACTAGATTTTTCAGACATTATCTGATACCTGTGTGTGTGTGTGTGAGTGCATGTGTGTGTATCTTATGTGCAGGCCACAACTTGTAGGAAGTTGAAGAAATTGATTGATCTGTTCATTTTTCAAGTTAGCTATTGGTTCTTGCCTTGCTGAATATTTTCCATATCTCTTAAAATCACACCACCAGGGAAATTAAGAATTTCATTTTCTATCAATTTTTTTTTCTTTCCAGAAGCCATTTCATGTTTTAAGTTCTCTAAACATTTAAATAACATCTTACATTATGTGTGTGTATTTAAAATTTGCTATGTTCATAGGTATAGAGTATTCAATATCAGAGATAATATTAAAGATATAAACAGTGTGTAGAAGTTGACACTACATGGTGACTATCAATGCTGCACCTCAATTCATTGTCCAAATATATATATATATATATATATATATATATATAATCATGCACACGCACTGTCTCTCTCTACACATATGGCCAGAATGTTTGCTTTCTGGCCATGAGACCCAGGTTTGAATCTCACTATGGTCAATTTGTCAGGAAGGTGACTTTGTTAATTATATTGGCCTAAGGAGGCGATCCCATCATGTGCTACCTTTGGAGCAATTATCTGCATCAAGGATTGTCTAGCAACCCTAACAGACAGGAATGCTCGGAAAATGGGTAGCTACCCATTTTTATTTATATATATATATATATATATATATATATATATATATATATATATATATATATATATAATAAGGTTTTGTAGAGACAATCTCAGTAAAAAATATGTATAAAACCAAAATAGTCATCAAAATTTGAAGAGCAATGTTGCATTCTTGATCTATGAATATTTCTGAAAATATTCATTCTCATGTCAAACACTTTTTTTTCTAAATTTTTTTTTTTTTTTTTTTTTTTTTCAAATTTATTACAAAAACAATCAAGACACACACATATACATAACAAAGTTTTAATGTTAACTTCTTGCTGGTTTCTCAGTTGTTATTTTTTTTTCTCTCTTTCTCAGCTGGAGGACAAGGAATTCATCGGCCAATAAAGAAACCTTCTAAGTCACAAAGCTTTGGCACAGAATACAAATCGAAAGTAAGTATTTTAATGGTCTTGTACTATTTATTTATTGCAGCATTCAGCTCTAAAAATATTATTATTAAATATATTATTAAAATTCCTCTGTAAAGCAAGACAAAATATGCTCTTTATAACCCTTAGTCATTCCTTTGAAGTTCATATTTTATGTAAGTTTGCTTGCAGAATTCTAGATAAGAAGTCTCAATTTCTTTAATAATATTCACTGTATTTTTCACATGCAAAATGTACAATGACAAATTTAGCATATTATACCTCTTGCATCATTTTAATATTGGCCATGTCAGTGTATATGTAAACCATCAAGGTGATTAAAAATAATAACATACTTGTTTAATAAATCCTACCAGTTATGCCACATTTAAATAAACATAAAATATCTAGTACATGTTTGCATGTGTAAGAAACACATGCCCAAGAAATATTTAAAAAATCCTTTATTAAACTCACTTTTTCTGTTTGGTATATATCAAAAGGTAAATGCACAAAAACTTACAGTGAAGACAAGCTCTACATTCTGGTTCTATTCTCCATAATGAAGAATGTATCAACTAAGTGTGCAGCTAGAAAGAGAAAATGAATTGATTCAGTTGTTACTCAATAGGTTTGCGAATAATCTTATGGTGAAGTCATAATCAAATGGACAGCCATCATCCATACATACAAGTACACACACACACACATATATATGCAAAACTGTTACTGCATTCACTTCCTTTACAGAAGAACACAGAAACTGTTAAACTGGAAGTTGTTCATGATTGGGCTATAAAATTGCCAGACAAGTACGATTCGCAGAGGATTGTGCACATTATAAGAATGGTTGTAGCTGACAGATGGCACCCAAGTCAATATCTGATCAGTATCATCTGGGTCATCACAGAGTGGTGGGGTATGATGTTGAAAGACCCCAAGCTCCTAATCATCCTCAGCTAAAAACATAACTGATGCGTGCCAAAGCATCAAACTGATGCATTTCACAAGTATATTCTGGATAAATAAATCTATAGCCTGACACAGTGTTATTAGCTGAATTTTGAACCGAGATTTTTACTGCATAATGTTGGATCTATGTAAGTAATGGGTCAGTGTTGGATTAAGTGAATTGACAAAGGACTTTGTGTGGAAAAATAAAGTCTTACCTGCTTTTCATTATCAATCTTACATAAAAAAAAAAAAATTCTTGTAGTTGAGTCTTCTCATTCACTGAATTTTGTGTTAATTTTTTTAAGTTTGATTTTTTTCTATTTCTTTTTATTTCTTTTTTTTTTTCATTCATACTCTATCTGAATTAAAACAATAATACATTTTGGTTGCTGTTATTGTTTTTATGCCTTTGATATGTAACTAGTAACTTGGGTCTTTTGTTTTTTCAGAAGGCAGGTGGTGATATAAAACAAAAAGGAAAACCTGATCCCTATGCTTATATACAGCTCAATTACCAGGACTTAAATAAGCGGTAAGTTCATTGCTTAGTGAAAACCAAATAGAAATTTATGTTGGCTTTGAGAACCAAACAAAAAAATGTTGTGAATATATATACTTTTTTATATTTGGATATGAAAATCTGGGCTTTGAAATATCATAACATGAGATGTGCTTACCTTGATAAGGCTAATTGAACTTTACTTCATGGCTGAGCAGTCTAAAAGCATGCCAAGGCATACAATGGAAGCTTCTACATAAGGGTGATGCAAGTTTGAACCCTACCAAAGATCAGGTCTTCTTTATTAAAGATTCAAAAACCCAGACTGGTAGACAATAATTGTTTTAAAAAAAAAACAGATGTCTACTATATGTATCTGCTAAATATAACATTTATATTATCCATTTTATATATATATATATATATATATATATATATATATATATATATATATATATTTTCTGAACATATTATGTTTGTTTATTTTTACTGCGATCCTCTCGATTCTCTTATTGACTTGTTAATGTTGATATTAAACTCATTAAGGAAGGCACTGTAGTTTTTTTTTTCTTTACATTTTTCATTTTTATTTTCCCAAGTACTTTCAATTTTCATCCAAGATCATCTTCAAGGGTGAATTGGTAAGAGAGAAAAAAATTAATGTAATTGATAGTTTTTTGGGTTTTTTTTTTAATTACTCATGAACATATGCTGGTATAATTGTTTTAAAATTAAAATTAACTGTTGTAATTATAGAGTTTTTTTTTTATCTAAGGGAGGTAACTTAATCTGTACGATTATAATTTATTTGATTTTAAATATTTTTAAAAACATTACTATTATAAACATTTTAAAACATTATATTATACTCATTACTTTATTTAGTGTTGGTTGTTTGCTCCTTATATAGAGTTGATAATGTTGTTGTAGTGAAGCCAACATATGTATTTACTTTTTTGTCAAATATACAATCTCTTACAGAACATTTAAATTGATATACAATGAAAATAAAAGAAATACAGCACTTTCCTTAATGAATTTAATATCAACATTAAGAAATCAGAGAATTCAAGAGGATTAAAATAAAAATAGACATAATATGTCCAGATTATTGAACTAAGCATGGTGAATGAAGATATGCTGCCTAAATATACATATTTTAAATTACATGATCTAGAGGCTTATCATGATATCAACACTTAGCAATTTAAATGTAACCTTGTGAAAAGGCAAATTGAAATCACAATAACCAACTTAGAAACTCTCAGTAAAAAAAAAAACACGAGATCCACAACAAACTCTCAACCACTCCTGAATCATTTAAAGAAATCCTTTCAGAAATCACTAATAAATCTAAAATTCAATGCCATCTGAAAAAAAACATAATACACTATATAAAGGATGTATTCATCTCCCAAATAATAATGATAAATTCATTAACATCTCTAACTTTGAACTAACAGACCACCAAAAGGAATTGTTCAATATTAGACTTAATTGTTATCTTTACAGACAATACAATAGATTGGATAAAAAACTGAAATTGAAATGTTATATCAAAACTTGAAGAACAGCAACTAATAAAAACAAAACCAGAAAGCCGAAGCAATAAAAGAGAAACATGACAAAGGAAAAAACTCTTCCAAGCTCCTAACAAAACAATTAAAAATCACTGCAAAGAAACTACATGACTCATAAAAAAGAGAATAAAACCAATATTTTTGTTGTATTAAATAAATCTGGTTATAATTCAAAACTACAACAAAAATTCAAAATCACACCAAATTTAAGAAAGTCAACAAAAATCCTATTAACCAAATGAAATTAGAAATCAATAAACTGATAAAAGCCAACAATGCAGAACAGGACAACTTAAAACTTCCCAAAATCATTACAAACTACAAACTAGGATACATGTATGGAAGTATAAAAATACATAAACCTAACATTCCTCTCCATCCTATCATATTCCAAATCCCCACTCTGGTTTAACAATTATCCAAAATCATAAACCAACTCATTACACCATACTTATCTAGTGAAATACAGTATTAAATCAATTCCTGAACTAATCCAAATTTTAAAAACACAAAAACCTAATACTGAAACCATAGCTTCACTTGATGGTGAAAGTTTATTTACCAATGTCTCAGTTAGGGAAATAATTGATATAATTATAAAGAATATTTATAATGGTCCATCTCTCCTTCCACTAAAAATTAAACCTAAAATATTATGGAAACTACTTTTGACCTGTACCACCAAGATCCCCTTCTATGACCATCAAAATAATATCTATGTACAATATGATGGAGTTTCCATGGGTTCAGTTCTGGGACCAACATTTAGTAACTTCTATATGACTAACCTTGAAAGTAAGATATTTAACACCACTAAAAAATCTACCATCTACCCATGATATGTAGATGATATTCTCATCTTAGTTAAAAACATAGATGAAATACATAAACTACAAAAAATCTTTAAAAAAAACTCTGTTCTTAAATTCGCATATGAACTTAACAATAAATTTCCTTTTCTTGATGTATTGATAGGCAACAATAATAATACATTTACTATCTCCCCATATAAAAAACCAACTAGCACAGATACATACACTCTCAACTATAAAAGTGAATGTCCTGTTACAAAATGGCTATTATACAAAATTTAATAAACTGTACAAAAGTTAACTCATCCACAACAAATTTTCTACACTGAATTAAAAAACATTAAACAAAATTTCATTAATAATGACTTTCCTAATTACATTGTTGATGAATAAATTAGATAAGTTATTAGAAATATTAACATAAATCAAAAAGAACATGATACTTCCTGAAATAGCCCTAAATATATCAACCTACTATACTGCAACTAAATGCATTCTAACTATAAACAAGATGGAAAAATCTTAAAAAAAAAAAACTTATAAGCACTAATATATTCCCCACCAATCCCAGTAAAAAAATTAAACTAATTATATTCTATACTAAATTTAATACAACCAACTTAATCATCTGCAATAATTCTTCTCATCAACTAGTATTTAGCAAAAGACCAACATTGTATATCAATTTAAATGTCCTTTGGGAGAATTAAATATATATATAGTGTGTGTGTGTGTGTGTGTGTGACAGCTACAACATTACTTTCTAGGTGCCTGGATTCAAAGAGTTTTTTGTTTTCTCTCCCCACCCAGATTGAAGTATAACTTACCTTGTTAATGGGGCACTCTCTTTCTCTTTGGGATGCTTTGCCTTCAAATATCTAAGATTCTTTTATATGTAATTAGCCTTACACTGATTATATGCTATGATGCAAAGAGAATCTTCATTCTTTTATGAAAACATTTCAGGCATATGTGCACAAAAAGATAGTTCCAGCACTTGTCAGATATTTAACCTAAAACCATCTGAATATTAGAAAACACAATTGTCTCAATATACATTACTTACATAAATATAGTATGAGCCATAGAAGAGTAGATAGGTTTGCCTATCATCCAGTTCAAACTCCTTCCCTATCTTTTGAACAGGAATAGAGGTTTATCCCTTTTTTCCTGTTTAGAATTCAGTTTCCAGCTCCTGTTCCTAAAGTCTTCTCATTTTTTACCCCCCCCCCCAGTAAACCCATGTGGCATTATTTGCTTGGTGTGAAAGGATTGAAAAATAATAATACCAACTAACTTAACAATCATTAAAACATCCTAATAATAGTGATTTATTTTAGTAAATATTAGTTGAACAGGGAGATAACAGGGTTAATTTGGATTAGAACTTTTTTTTAATTTGGTTTGTAATTGCTAAAAACTGACAACTGCAAAAAGAAATCTTTTTTATACTCAAGCCAACCTGAATGTACTTTATCTCTCATATCAGACTCATTGATTATAAATATAATAGCCTTATTAAGTAAGTAATGCAGGTAGTGTCTAAACATTCTGCTGCCAATCTATAATTTTTATTGTCTGAGTGTTTTTATTTTTCTTCTTTTTTTTCTCAACTTTGGTTAGACATTACTCTTGTACCCTTTTATTCATAAACTGAATTCCTTGTTATTCTTTTTATTCAAATTAGAAAGAGAACTCTGTATTTCTAAAACAAAAAAATCAATTTTAATACCTTAGTATTCTCACAGATTGTGATTAAAATCCAGGAACAAAATTACTTAAAATGCATATAAATGTTTATCAAATTACTTAAAATGCATGTTAAATGTTTATAAATGTTTAGATATTTATAAAATTTTACTATAAGAAAAAAGAATTGAGGACATTCTGTTATAAAAATGAGTTTATATATAATACACACACACACATACACACAAACACAGTGCAAAATGATTTTTTTTAAATTGCTTTATTTGATACACTTTTAGTTTTATTATACCATTGGAAACTTGTTTACATTTAATCATACCTAAAATGTTGTTAGTAAATCATAAAGGTGGTTTAATTTATTAATAATCATTACCCAATGTAATTTTAATTTTCTTTTATTAATGTGAAGATACAAAATTAGCTTGTATAGAGGCTTCATTATACAATACCCAGATCACTTCTTAACTCTTGCTTTATCGAAGTGACTTATGATAACTCTTGCTTTGTTGAAGCCATGTTTTTTGGACAGCCATACTACAGAATAGTAAAAGGTTATCTTCAGCCTTCATCACCTGCCATCTATAAAGCATCCATGGGAAACCAACTATGAAGCAAAATAACAATAATTTAAAATAATTTTTTATTTTAGTTTCACAGACATTTAATTTTCTCTCTTTTTTTTTTTTTTTTAATTTCAGAAAACGTGCCAAACTGAAGGGAAAATTCAATGGTCTAGTAAAGAGTGCCAGAAAAGGAGCCCAACAAGGGTCAAAAGCCATGAAATTCAATCGAAAAACAAAACGGTGAAGTGTTGGTTGTATCTAACTGTACAGAATAAACAAAAAAGAACTGGGTTATTTTGTATTTTATACCTCATTTTTTTCTTACTTTTTTCCCCATGTCATTGTGTGGATGCAATGAAAAATAAAGGAAAGGAAATTATTGCATCTTTCTCAGGTTGATAAGAGCCATCAGAAATGTATCTTTACAATGAAATTGGAGATTGAAACAAATCCATGTTGCAAAGTGGCAGAGTATTTTCAAGTTAACCAAGAATGGCAGTATGGTGTCTTTATCATATGAATTATTATGGCTGAGCATAGAATAGTCTTGCACAGTAGAGCCAAGCAGACATTAGTGGTTTTTAAGTATCTTGATTGATTTTTAACTCAATGATGGAATTGTATTAATGATGTACTTAAGAGGAAAATTAAAATAAAACTTTTACATTTCTAATGAAAAAATAGGGGTTTACATTTCAAAAAATTGGTCAGTGCAGTCAAAATTCCCGGAAAGAGCTTAAATTTTGCATTTAAATTTATTTTATGGAAATTTTTGGCACATCAAAAAATGTAGGAATAGAGGTCTAGGTCATGATTTATTGATAAATACAAGGAAAGTTATGTCAAAAACTGATTTTTGGTGCCCAGCTTACAGTGCCAAAAGTGAGTAATGATCAATTCAATGTATAAAAGGAACAGAGTATGTTTTAAATATCTTAAGAACAATTTTATTACATTTTGAAGATTTAAATTGTTCTGCATGTGAATTTATACTAAAAAGAAAAAACTAATTTTATTTTGGGCATTTTTTTGTTAGCCTTATTCAAACTTGGGGTGTCAAAGACAAAAAAGCAGGAAAAATATGGCAAAAAATTGTGTTGACTGAATTTTGTACTGTTTTTGCCTCAAAACCCACTTGATGTAGTTCATTTTGAAAAAGAGTTAACACCTGTCTATCATTTATAGCATTCATTTCAACAAGAGTCCAACAACTTTCCTAGAAAAAAGAGGTAGAAAATGCCAACTATCCAGAACTGGTTATCTAAAAGTAAATGATTAAAAATGTACACATTTTGATTAACTTCAAACAGCCATAACTTGCCAAATACGGGGTGCATTCAAAAAGTATCTGACTTTTTTTCCCACCAAAACTAATGCCTCATGGACAAAATCCTTTGGATGGGAGGTGATTCCACCCTTTTTGCACATGTGTGAAAATTTTCGCACATGTCAGTTCCCAGCTGTTATGCCTAGAGTACAGACATGTTGTGCACACTCATCAGATTTTTATTTTCATGCAAGATGACTGAATGTAACAAGCAGAGATATTCCTTCAAATTTTGCCAAAAGCTTGATGATATTCAAGCTCAAACCATCCAGGCAAAACTCAGATCAAGGAGTGGTACAACTGCTTCAAACATGTCTGCACCCCAGTGGAGAATGAGGCACACTCAGGCAGGCCATCGACAAGCTGAAATGAGGAGCTGATTGAGAAGTTTAGGTGAATAGTCATGAAAGATGTGTCATGTAACTATCCAGGAAATTTCTTACAAAGTAGAAATAAGCACAGGATTAGTGTCTTCCATTTTAAGGAAGGATTTGTGCATGCAGAAAGTGTTGGCAAAATTTGTCCACTTATTCCACCTACATAATCCAAGCTTTCCTGGTCAATGACAATACACCACTTCTTTGACAGGCACTCTACTCTCCAGACTTGGCACCATGTGATCTCTGGTTTTTCTACAATCTGAAAAGCATGCTGAAAAGGAAGCGATTTGATTTGCAAGAGGAAATGAGAAAAGTGACTGCAGAGTTCCATAGCATTCTAGAAAAAGTATTTCAGAGTTGTTATCAGCAGTAGCAGAACCACTGGGATAAGTGTATGAACTCTCAAGGGGAGTATTTTGAAGGTGATTAAATAAAATTTGTGAAAAGTACAAAATAGATTTTTTTTCTTTTTTTTTATGCCCAAAGTTTGGATACTTTTTGAACACACCTAGTACATGGAGTTAGGACAAAGATAGTTTGTCTACTTTCAAACTAGATATAGCATATATATCTTAGGAAATGTTCCAAAAGTGTTAAATGTCCACTTGAGTGGGGTAGTCAAAAATAAATAAATAAAAGACACTTCTAAAATCCATAAATATTTAGGAGGTAGCAGTAGATAAACCACTATATGTTTTCATGAGAAATTTAAGCATCATCTTGCTGATACAGCACACCATTTTTTGATGGGGAGGTATTGCTTAGTAGATGGATCTCCAGGAACTAAGATTCCCTGGGTATGAGTCCTCAAATGCTCAGAGTTGAAGCAGTAGATGAGTATGGATCAGGAGTTTGCCTTATCAAGAATATTGTTTACACCATTTGCAGTTCATTATCAAATATGGCAGATTTTCTTTTATAGAGTGAGAAACAGTTTGAAGTACTGTTCAGTTTCTGTCATTTGGGAAATATTTCTTTGCCTGAATTATTTTTTGTGTCAATTTAGTATCCTTTTCATGGAGGATGGAGTTTTATGTCATACAGGTAAAAAGACCCAGAGAAATTCGATTATTATTATAGTTATTGCAACGCAGCAAAAATTGTCCATAATAATTTTCATTAGCACAATACTAATAAATATTCTAAGTTTTAGATTGAAGCCGTTTTCAGTTCAATCTCGCTTTTTTTGCCAAATAATTTTTAGTAAAAATAATGCCTGTCTAAGGGAGATAATTCAGAGTTGTTTCCCTTTACCTGTTTTCATTCTATCTCGATGGTGTTGCTTCACTTTTTCCATATTGCAAGTGTTAAAACTTTTTGATAATTAATCTTTGTAAATATATAAATTCAGTAAATAAGAAGTTATTGAACAGGAAAAAGGTATGAAGCGACTTTATGGCAAATTCAGTTTCTGAACAGGAATTCTTCTAAATACGTCAGGATCGTTTTGGAAAAGGAGAAAAATGTCCAGGAAACCTCTTATAAAAGAAAACTTGTTTCATTTTTACAATGAGCTCGTTGATATATCCCCAAAAGAAGATCACGCATCTAATAAAATTTTAGTGTCTTAAAAATTAATAATGGCATGTTTGGTCATTTTTAATCTGCAAATTAAAATGTACTTAAATTGTTAAATATGGGCCTTTTACAAATGGAAGTGTCTCTTTTGTCTCTATCAGAGCTTGAAATTATCATCATACCATCAACAACAAATCATTAGTTTAAGACAACTGGCAAGGTTTTGTTTTCTAGGTGCAGTGGGGGTAGGGAGGAGGTGATAGAAAATTTTTAATTAAAGTTTTGTATTTATTTTAAATGCAATATTTTGTTAATTACTTCTCACCAATCGTGGTGATTTTAATAAATGGAACACTCACTCACACACAATAAATCGTGCTTCTTCTAAAACTCATGAATGAAACCAGAAGGAAGGTTGAATTATTTAAATTTAAATATTTGTCATTTATTTCTAAATCTAAGAAATATTAGGATCTAATTATAAGAACTGATTTTGCTTTAATAAAGCAAGAAAATTATATTTTTACCTATTCATTTTTGGTTAAAAAACACTTGACTGGACCATTAACAAACATCTATATTTTCTGCTTATAATATACTAAATTGAAAATACAATGAAGAATTTAAAAATTGATAAAGAAAAATTTAGTCACAAATAAGGCAAGTAAATAAATGTTTTGATTAAGACTTTAAAAACTTAGCTGGAATTTGCTAATATTCATTATACAGAAAATTAATGCATAGTGCACAATTCTTAAAGTATGATAAAACTTACTAAAAGGTATTTTACCAAAATGTCTAAATAAAAATGTTTTATCAAAATTATAGGAAAATCTAATGAATTTGATGTTTGTATTTATTTCTTTTTAAAGCTTTAATACTTTAATGGTTCTTTCATTTTTCTCATTGCTCCCATATTCTGACCATACAATTCTTTACAATCATCAGTAGAACCACATCTTTATCATTCAAGTCTTTTTCATATATGAGAACTACTGATTAAAAAAGACAGTGAATTTGAAATTTCAAAAGCTACTAAGTGTCCTATGGAATATTGCCTAAAAAATTTAAGTTCTGCTTATTTTAATAATTAAAATTTACATGAGACACAACAATAAAAATTATAATGAATACTTGCCTCTAGTTTTAATCTTTTGCACTATTAAAGATATTGTTTTAAATTTTCATCTCTACTATCTTCTGCCCAATTTATTGATCTATCAAAATCCAGTATGGATGACATGCAGTTTCTTTTATGTATTCCTAAAAGATTTGTTAGTTTGCAGGAATTAGAATTAACTGAAAATGGTTCATATTTCTGTGATGATGGATTTTACTATTCATTGTTCCATGAATGTTTTAGCAACTGTTTTGTTATAAGTTTTTTTGTTTGTTTGTTTTTTTTTTTCTATCACGAGGATCTATCTCAGTAAGACCATAAAATTATTTGATGTTGGCAATGGACCCACAATATTTATATGAATACAGTAAAAAATATGTATCTGATTATACTGTAATCTATTTTCATGAGTTTTATTTCTTGGTGTCAACAATCATATTGTAGTTTTCATTGGCATATATTCTTCACATACAAGCAGAGCTCCCTATAGACCAGATATTCCTGAGCAGCCACTGTGGAAGATATCAGCCTCACAAGTTGGTATGCACTGAGTAAGGACAAACTGACCTGGCCTTCAAACTCTTCTTCTATATCAAAACAACTACCAACAATGTTATTTGTTTTTTTTTTTATTTTCTTTTGTTTTTTTTAGGCTACGTAGTCCATCATTGGCCAAACAAATATGTTTACTATCCGAGCTCACATTTGCTTGATTGAGTGAGAGAGCAAAAGTGTTGTTTTTGTTTTTGGGAGTTAGGTTGATTTTATGACACATCAACATTTGTGTGATTATTTAATATTGAATTTTGTATTAGGCACCCAGTGAGGATCAAACTCAATAGTAATGATCAACTATACTAGACTTGCTAACCATTATTCTATGTTGAAGTGCCAGAATG